CCCTCTTCAGTCTCATGTTCTCTGCCATGCTGATGGACGCCTACCGCGACGAACGCCCCGGGATCCGCATCGCCTACAGGACGGACGGTCACCTCCTGAATCAACGGCGGATGCACTTCCAATCGCGCGTATCCACAACAACCGTTCACGAACTCCTCTTCGCCGACCACTGCGCCCTGAACACCACCTCGGAAGAGGAGATGCAACGGAGCATGGACCTATTCTCCGCCGCCTGCGAGAACTTCGGTCTGGTCATTAACACGCAGAAGACGGTGGTGATGCGCCAACCGCCACCCAGCTCAGCCACAGCCCCCAACGCGCCGCCGCAAATCAGCGTGAACGGAACCCAACTGCAGGTGGTGAACTTCCCGTACCTGGGCAGTACTCTCTCCCGCAACACCAAGACCGACGACGAAGTCGCCAACAGGATCTCGAAAGCCAGTCAGGCCTTCGGTCGCCTCCAAAGCACAGTTTGGAATCGCCACGGTCTTTAGCTGAGCACGAAGCTGAAGATGTACAAGGCCGTCATCCTGTCGACACTACTGTATGGAGCGGAGACTTGGACGGTGTACGCAAAGCAGGCACGTCGACTAAACCACTTCCACCTCAGCTGTCTTCGTCGCATCCTGAGGCTGAAGTGGCAGGATCGAATCCCCGACACTGATGTGCTGGAACGGACGGGAATCCTCAGCATCTACGCCATACTGAGGCAAATTCAGCTGCGCAGGAGCGGCCACCTGGTGCGCATGGATGACGAGCGACTACCCAAACGACTCTTCTACGGAGACGTCGCGACGGATTCTCGTCGTCAAGGAGGCCCAATTCGTCGATACAAGGATACCCTGAAGTCCTCCCTGAAGCTACTGCAAATCAACCCGACCAACTGGAAAGAGCTCGCCTGCGATCGTCCGGCATGGAGGAGAACAGTGAAGACAGGCGCTGCTATCCACGAAGCCAACCGCATCGCTGCCGCCAAAGCGAAACGTGAAGCCCGCAAATCACAACTTCGCCCAGTAAGCAACGCCGCCGCACAACCGCTTCCAACGTGTCCTCGATGTCAACGGACATTCCGGGCTCGAATCGGACTTGTTGGACATCTCCGAACCAACTGAACCTCTCGAACTGCTCCAGCCATCGTCCCCCCGCTTGCCTCTTCCTCCTCCTCTCCGCCGCCAACTTACCCTGACAATTCTTCTGACCCACCACTTCCATCCTCCTCCTCCCCCTCCTCCTCCTCCTCCTCCTCCTCGCCCACTGCTCCAACGGCGGCCACTCAGGCGACTGTCCCGCGCACAGCAACCGACAATACCACCACCTCCCTTGATTCCAGGGATGAGGATCAGGACTACACCTGCCCTCACTGCGACCGTACCTTCACCTCACACGTCGGCCTGGTCGGTCACTTGCGAATCCGTCGCACAGAGACTGGCGAACCAGTGCGTGAAGCACCAACCTACACCCACCGCACTCGCCTCCACTGCCCACACTGCCCTCGCACCTTCAGGCATCTCATGGGCCTTTTCGGCCACATGCGCATCCACGAGAGCGGCCTTAACCGCACTCCCGACACAACCACCACATCCAACACATCCACCGTGCACACCCCCACCCTCGTTCCATCCGTCCGCGCCACCACCACCGCCTCCTCTGTAGCTGACACTGACACCGCCGACTTCTCATGCCCACACTGTCCGCGCACATTCACCTCACGCATCGGCCTGGTCGGTCACTTGCGAATCCATCGCACAGAGACTGTCGAACCAGTGCCTGGAGCACCCACCTATACCCACCAAGCTCGTCTCAACTGCCCACACTGTCCTCGCACTTTCAGGCATCGCTTGGGCCTATTCGGCCACATGCGCATTCACGACGACCTGCGGTATACCACCGCCGGCAAACCACACATTCACTCACTCCCTACCTCCTCCACCACCACTATCACTCCACCAGATTTCAACACTCACACACCTCATGCACCCAACTGTCACCTCCCACGCAAGTGGGAAGTGTGCATCTCGACTCGGTCCCCATGCGGCTTCGGCTGCACGGGTGACTTGAGTCCGGGACTATCCCGACACGTCAAGCGTCGTGGATAGGAAGGTTGCTGATTGACGCCCGCTCAAGGTTCAAGCAAATCGTCGCGTTGTGTGTGTGTGTGTTGTGTGGAGTGGCGGACTGGTGGGCTGGGAACGGGCTGAAGCAGCACCTTCCACGGCCCTCTCACGCATGTGAGAGACACGCCGTTCAACCCCCGTTGTGTGAAATCCTGGTGTTGTGTGTATTGGGGGGGACAGGTCGTGCCGTGGCGCGCTCAGTCATGGTCAGTCGACCATGAGAGCCACCGCGCCTATTCCCAACTCCAGTCTGCTGACCGGCTCGGACAGTGGCTGGGGTGTGGGAGTGGGAAGGGAGAGTGAGGTCGACGACTCAGCGCACTTTCTCCTCACTATAAACAATCTGACGCGCTTGAAGCTATCACGGTGCGCTAAAAGCCGTGGCTTGGAAGGTTGCCAACTGACGGGGTACCTTGGACCTCCTCCTTGACCGGAGGCGGTCTGAGAGTCAGGCTGCAATGGCTCCTTTTTAATGTGGCCTTTATGGCACTCCCATCACAGTGTGGGATCCAAGCCAGGCGTTGGCGGTACGCCCAGGTGCGGCTTCGGCCGTGCCAGCCTCCAAATCTCTGTTGTGATTGGTTGAAATCCTGGTTATTTGTTGTGTAGACCAGGGGGTGTGATGGAACGCCAAGGTGAGGATCCGTCCGAGCCATCCACCTGCGGCCTCTCTCGTCTCCGGTCTTCTTGACTCTGTCTTGACACCGGGCTCGGGCGAGAGAGGAGGAGAGAGTGTAGGTAGATGCTACGCAAGTCTACTGGCACTATAAACCCCTGCGTACGTCACCGTCCCTGCTCCCATTGCTACTGCAACTGTGGGGCACACGGTGGACATCATCGAAACCGATGGTCGAACTGTCATGCGCCCAAAATTTGCGTGCGTTGTTTGCGCAAGTTTTGCAATAATTGTAGGATGCAGTCATCTTGCCGCTGTCCATCCACCGCAGTTAACGGCCCCCGTATTCAATGTAGATGGTTGAACATGTGCGATAATTACCCGCAGCGCGTCGTTAACTGCCGCAGTATCATCAGTCGTGTTGGTTACTGGGGGGATGATAGTTGTTGGGCCACTTAGGCTACCGACAATGGTATGGGAAGCAGGTCTTGCCGACCCAAATTGTTGGCTGGCGGTCCGGGGCATCAAGAGCGTCTCGAAAACCTACTCACATCACTTGGATTGTGGGTTGCACGCAGACCGGAGACAACCATAAAACGAAGGTCAGTCAAGAGGCCAAAAGACCCACGGTCATGACGGAAAAATTCCGGAGTTGATGACCAGATCTTATCCATTTTTGGGCAGTAAAATTATGTCGGGGAAACTGGAGGGCTATCCCGGACGCTATCACGACACTACTACCAATATTTAAGCAACATGCTATGTTGTTTATTTGTTTTAAACTGTTCACATTCACTAAGATGCCTGCAAACTACAAATCTTATTTCACTTTCTGTAGCTTATGTGTGCGTCAAATATCCGCAGTATTAATCGATAAACCCTGTTCATATGCCCTCAAATACTGTTAACGCATGAAATACTGTTCATCTGTACAGTTTTTGATATTCTCCTTGTATTTCTTTCATGTCTCCTCCTTTCCACTTTCTCCACAGACTTTCTCTGCGTGTAACAAATAGGGATTTCAAAGTTATACACCTACTTTCCCTCAAATAAACTTAACTGAAGGACCCCAGTGCCTAGGTCACGTCTCATTTTACCGGACTCGGCCACGCCTTCAAGTTCTAAAAGATCGTGAAAATGACAAAATCAAGGGCCATGAGTAGCTCGAGCCATGACTGTCCGCCCTCCTCCACTCCCCCTCCCACCACGCAACGAATTCACTATTCTGGGATGAGAGTTTGCCTGCGTGGAGTAATCAAATGCGCGGAGGGCACTCTTGTGAACACTATTTCCAATTCCACTGTCGATGGGTCAAATGCCTCAACACCTATCACCTCCACTAACCAATAGAACTGATGCAATTGAGGCAATTAATGACCCGCTGTGAACAATCCAGCAGTTATCACACCAAATACAATCATTAGGATTGAATGCGGGAGGCACAGCAACTGCATCCTGTAACTACAGCGACACTTGCGCGAACACTACCTTTATTGGATGCAATCTGTAGTGCCGGCTAGGAAGCTGAACCTAAAAGTTCAGGCGAACTAGGCCCTTGCTCCAACGATCAGGTCTGCATATTACAAATGAAAATCACCGCCAACTAGAACTCCACGACTGCAAGTCCACAGCGTGTCCGAATTTCGTTTTCCTCAGCCGCGTTAGAAGCTGGGTTATAATAACCAGGAATGCATGACAGCAGACAGCAAACTAATCCCGAAAGTGGGTCAAATAAGTCGACCAGAAGTGACCGGGGATCGGTAACACTTTCCAAAACACGAACAGTCATCATGAAGGACTTTCGAATCCAAGGTGTCTTCACTAATCCAAAATGTTCATTATATGTAGGCTATCAAGTGTGATAAGCTGGCGAAGCCTTGGAAACCGATATCTAACGCCGCAGATATTTTCGCATTGGTTCTGGAATCTTTCGTGTAGCAGTAACGTGCAGCGGTAACCACTGGTAGATGGATTTATGTGAACCATTTTGTTATTTATTTTACCTCAGTACAGATTTTTCAAAGCCACTTCATTTGCCCTTACTTATTCCAATTTTACCCTTATTCAGTTTTCAGAAGACGAGGTGGCGAGCATACGTAGTTTTCGATAAATTCTCGTCGGGCCGATACAATTATATGGGAACAGGGTAGAAGTAAAACATATCAGCGATAAGAGAAATCGATAAAAGTTCTCCTTAAAACACGGGCGGGGCTTGTGAATGTGGGGGAGGGGAGGGGTAACAGCCGTCAGTGTCAGGGGGGGGGGTGAGAGCGGAAGGGCGCAGAGAATTGCAGCGTTAGTCGACCTTCGACCACTGTAGGCGCGGAGCCTGAACGTGGTTCTTCTGTGCGCATAAAATTGGCTTTCGTAACCTAATGGCGGCCGCTTCTGCTGTCGCTAACAGGCGCTAGCCTAGTACCTTAGGGTAGCTCGATGGGATCTTATAAATCACACGAAAACCTTCGCTGGGGTCTACACGATGTCCGGAATCGACAACATGCGCGAGAATGGCGCTGATTATGCTCCTGGTTTCGCCTTCTCCCAGCCATGCCGGGAGGTGTTCCCCTACGAGTCGCCCTTATCCAAGAGAATACGGGAACACCTCCCGGCATGGCTGAGAAAAGGTCCCTGACACCTCATTCCCGGCCAGTAAATGCGCTTGCGCTCCCGCTGGGCATACAGGTGGTGGGCATGACTGCCCAGTCATCTTCGTCGCTCTAGCCCCTGTTGGAGTGTTGTTGTTGGTGAAAAATCCTGGTCAAGTGGCCAGGGAGTGTGGTGGCACGCCTAGGTGCGGGTCCGGCCATGCCAGTCACCTGAATCCTCCTCCGCCTCCAGTCTTATTGATTCTTTCTTGACACCGGGTCCAGTTCGAGAGTGGGAAAGAGAGGGTGCGGTAGATGCTGCGCAAGTCACTGTGCCTGCTGCACCTTGCTGTATAGCAAGCGGCGGACATTGTCGTAATCGACGGTCGAACTGTCGTACAATGACTATCTCATTACCCGCAACGTAGGATGCTAATTTTAATGACGCTTGGTTACCGAAGAACGCGGGTCAAAAATTCAGATCCTTTGGACTTGGGATTGCCCAAGGCTAGCTGGTGATGGCCAACAAGCCAGAAATACTAATCCCAGTCTCCTTCTCTCTCTCTCTCACTCTCATCTTTGTCGGTGCTCCTCTTCCCACACAATTATCTGTCGCCAGACCACCGTCTGCGAGGGAGTTATTCGGTCCTCTGGCTCACTGATGCCATAATTGGAAGCGCTGTCCACCCTCGCTCGCCCTACACGGTCAACTACTCAGTACAGAACTGAAAAGAGGCAGTCATATGCGGAGTCAGAGGACAATAAGTCAAGGTGCTCGTGGTTCACAGGGCTGTCGCTTTCCGCAGGACTCCTGGAACCGTCGAAAGGGCTCTAGACTTGACCCCACGGCATAACGGGAAGAGCGTGTCCATAGCATGATCGGTGAACGCCCTTCTACTATGAAAAAAAAGTACGCATACGGAGGGACCCAGGTTCTGAGGGGGGTTTTTCACGCACGCAAATCCCAAAAATCAGCTTTTAGTTGCTTTTCAAACAGGCCAGTTTCTCTGCAATATCGACTATATTCCCGAAAAATTGCGGTTCACAAAGGTGCATGTTCACTTTATCTTTATCAAGTGTTCTAAAATCAAATTCTTTACTGTAAGGAGATTATTCATTAAAAGGAGAAGATCAAACGAAGGCCAATTAAGAATAAAGCAAAGTACTCGAAATAAAAAGTAGTTCCAGATAAGCGAGGCACAGGAAGATGGAAGACTAGACTACGCGGTGTAGTGGAAGCACTGAATGGGTCATGGTTTTGGGCCTGGGTCATGCGATTTTGCCCGATGCATTTGCAGAACCAACTTTACTTTACGTCCCTGTAGCGGTTGTAAAGAGCAAATAGCAGACGCAGGGTGGCCTTGAGGTCGTGCCGCAGCAGGTCGTCCGCCCGAGCACCCGGTCCTGGGCCAATTCCTTCGGCGTCCTGAAACAGCTGGAGGGCCAATTGCAGGTTGGCCAGCTTCTGTTCATTGCTGACAGGGGCAAGGTGATATTTGTGCAACGGAACGAAATAGCCTCCAAGAATTCCGAGAAGGAGGATGAAGAAAACCCCGTCGTCCATCTGTGCGCGCAGGAGGTAGAGGAAAATAATAAAAAACACATTTATGGACGTCTGGAAAGGCTGTCAACGAAGGCTTTCGATCGAGCCTCGAGGCGCAACGAGAAGGGCCTGTTCCGTACTGGAGTCGGAACGGTGAAAGATCCTAGAATAAACACTTTCTTGAAATAAAAGGCCGGGTCTGACACAGCGATCGTTTCAATTGCCTACCAGAGGAGGT